TCCACGTCCTCGGGAGCCACAGAGTCAAACTCCTCCCATACAACAGTCTCAAGACCTGCCCTCGCCTCCTCCCCCGGGGCCACCCAGTCGGAGTCCAAACCCTCTCGGATCCGAGCGACTTTGTCATGCAGATATTGTGCAAATTCCTCAGCCTTCCCTGCCAGGGGGTCCCCGCCCCCCCTCAATTGAAGGAGGGAGCCGGTCACCCTGAAGAGGGAGGCCGGGCGGTTATCTGATGACGCAATGAGGGTGGAGTAGTAATTAGACCTCGCCACCCTCATCGCCACAAGGTAGGATCTAACATGCATCCTTACCTGTGTTCGGTCGGATTCGGTTCGGGTAACCCTCCAACTGCTCTCTAGGCGTCTTTTCCGGCGTTTCATATCTCTCAGCCCCTCGGTGAACCAAGGGGCCAGTTGAGATCTATGCCGGGTCAGAGGCCGCAGCGGCACGACTCGGTCCAGTGCTGCGGCTGCGGCCACATCCCAGGCCGCAGCCTGATGTTCCGCCGAGTCGTGACCTAGCTCCTCAGGATATGGCCCAAGCATTTTGGATCTCATCCAAGAAGCTTCTTCAGCTGGTAGGAATGGAAGGATTTATATTCCTTACAGACAGCTGGTCATTTGCATTAGAGAGTCGTTGGGGCCACTTGGAGATTTGTTTGTGTCCTCAGGGTCATCTGAGTAGTGCAAAGAGAGCCTCAAGGACTCTCTAAAAGAATGCAAATGACCGACTGTCTCCAAGGAGTATAAATCCTTCCATTCCCCATCTTCAGTCAGAGCTGAAGAAGCTTCTTGGATGAGATGTGAAGCACCTTCAAATAAAAACAAAAAAAAAAGTCCAGTTGCCTCTTGAAAAAGCACCTTTGGGAGCAGGAATGATGGAAACAGAGGCATTCTGAATAATTGAACACCTCTAATATACTGTGGAAAACTGATATCTGCTCAGACTGCATATGCTGCTGTTTCTGCTGATTCTGTCCTTATACTGTGATATGGTTTAACACAAAAAATAAACTATATTAATAAAATCAAGCCTAGAACAGAAACATCTTTTTTTTTAAAAAAAAAAATTCTTACTCTTGGAAATGGAAACATTTCCTACTTCCCATTTAATCTCTAGCATCTTTATAAGGATTATGCTTTGTAAAGTACTTTGAATAATCAAAAGCATTACAGAAATATCAATAAAGAAGCCATAAGTAAGTAAATCACTGCAATTATAATTGTTCCACCCTACTGTATACAGTTCCCAGTTAAAATGAGGTTAAGAATAATAGTTATGATAGGAAAACTCAGTAATATACCTGGTCCTGTTGTTGAAGAGTAATCCGATCGAAGCCCAACTACATTAAAAAAAACACTAATAAATATGCTTATCTTTAAGTAAAGTTTGCAATAAATGGTCAGTAGACAATACATACTATATATAATGTTATAGATTTGGAACCTTAGAAACCAAGAAAATGTATATTGTACTGTTATATAAGAATTTTTGATGCCATTTGAACTCAGTAAAGAGAAGCCCATAAATTCTGTGTTTGGCTCCACTATCAAATTTATATTAACATTAGGATTATTTTTTCCAGATTAATTTGGAATTTGATTTTCAGTTTTTTATACTCACTAAAATCATATCCTGCATTTTGTACTAAAGGAGATCAGGTCTTGGCTTCATTTTCTGTGATAGTTTCTAAGAATGCTTTCATAGCAGTATTTCATGCCCAATTCCTTTCATTTCTCTTTGTAGGACTTAGTTTCTAAGGCGTATCTAACATATTTAAAACCAAAAGCATAATACTTTAATAGTCTGGGACTGGAGACTAAAACATATGAAGAATGGTTGCAGGAACTGGATATATCTAGTTTAATGAAAAGAAGGACTACAGCAGACATGTCAAAGTCGCGATGTCACGTGATGTCGTGCAACGTATCAGGACAGTTTTGCCATTGCCGGCAATGAGATGGGCACGGCTTCTGCATGACGCGTCCGGCCCGTGGGCCGGCAGTTTGACACCCCTGGACTACAGGTTGACATAATAGCGGTGTTCCAATACTGAAGGGGCTGCCAAAGCACCCAAAGGCAGGATAAGAAGCAATGGATGGAAAACAATCAAAGAGGGAACCAATCTAAAACTAGGAAAAAATTTCCCAATAGTTAGAACAATTAATCAGTGGAACAACCTGCCTCTAGAAGTTGTGGATGCTCCAACACTGGAGATTTTTAAGAAGAGATTAGACAACCATTTCTCTTAAATAGTATAGGGTTTCCTGCCTATACCATTGGGATTGGAGTTGAACTAGAAGACCTCCAAGGTCTTTTCCAACTCTATTATTCTGTGTGCCACACTATGCCAGTAACTGTCAAAGAACTAATTGGCATACAGAGAGGAGCAACTCAACTGCCAATAGCTTCTTTGTCATATTTGGCAGCACCTCCACTCCCATGGTCTTCAACCGTGGCTAGACTACCCCACCATCACCCTTGATATTCCATTGCATTGGTGCATTCTAAAATGTCTTTGCCTTTAGGTTGTCTTCCTAAAAATGAACCACTTTCCATTTGTCTCTGTTAAATTCCATTTATTTTTAGGCCATTTCTATAGGCAATCATGATTATTTCCATGTTATATGGTACTCAGGGCTTTTTTTCAGCCGGAACGCGGCGGAACCGCGTTCCGGCACCTTTTTCCGGGCCGGCCGCACCGGAAATAGCCCCTCCCACACCGGAAATAGCCCCTCCCAAATTTTACTTGCATTCCTGTTCTCTAAAGGGGCGGTCCTAGGGTTTGATGAGGGCGTGGCCAGGTTTGAGTTCCGCCACCTTTTCTC